AGGTGGATAGTTTAAATCATTCTTTTATTTCAAAAGCTGAAAACTCCTGAAAAACAGTGGCTGGACCAGGAATACAAGGCAAAACCTATTTACAACCATGCTCCACATACGCAAATTTTCATTATCAAAAGGAAATTTCATTTACACTAAATAATAATTATCTCAAGGCCCACAGAGTTTCTCTCCTTCTCCCGGCTCTTCTAAACTACTGCATTTGCCCTCACTTCTTTCATGCTTCCTTCATTTCTCCACACATGCCCTTTCCATAAACAATGACAGACTGGCATTCAGGTGGAATTGAGGCCTTTCATTTCATTTTTTCCTACCTTAATTTTGTCAGTGTGTAAGTTTGCATGGTGGCTGTAGGACCCCAAGTGGCATTGGCCTTCACTTCTACACGATGCACAGACTTCTTTCTCCTTAGAAGGAATGCTTCCTTTCCACAAAAATCTCACCATAATATACAAATATTTTCTCTTGAGAGCAAATGCCATCAAGTTTTCTCAGGAATTTCTCATTGAATCACTTAGTGCAAAACTGCAAATATGACATCAAGAAGTGAAGCAATAAAAAAGGCATGCATCAAAACAACATACATGTTGTTCAAAGGTAACAGATAATAAAGAAGAAAATTCCTGATGTCCCAGCTTGACAGAACCTCTTACTTTGATCTTGCTATGAACCGGTATAGAAGATCCTCAACCCAGCAGTAGGAATGGGCATGTACCCTGCATCAGGTCTGAGCAGCAAAAAGCCTCAGGACTGAAGTCATCTAACTACAGGTCACTCGTTCTGACCTGCTCCTGCACTGCTGAGGGGTCAGTCTACCTGCACCTGCCAAAAAAAAAGCAAAGCTAGAGACTGCAGCATCAAAAGGTCACACCACCATGAAAGCAGAGACCTGAGCCCAACTCAGGGGGGAGAAAACTTCATTTTCTATAATTCCTTATTTCTCATTACTCTCCATATAGCAAGTTAATTTTTTTTTCTAGCTGATATCATGTTGAATTTGGTTGAGATATGGATCTTTACTTCAGATGGATTTATACGTCTGCATATATGATTCACCCATTACTGGAAGGGGGAAAGCCATAAGTATTTCAGCAATTGAGAACAACATAACAGCCAAACCCCCCTATCTTTTCTAAGCATGATGACCATTCTTTTAACTACATACAAGCACAGAGGTAAGAGTTGTTTACAGTATTCATAAATAGCATATTATAACATGTAACTTTAGGTGAATATTGCTGGTTTTGTCTTTTTCTCCAAACAGAGGACAGTAAGGGATGTGACCTGCACACACAACTGCTGATTTATGCTGTGCTGACTAGAAGAAACTACACTGTCAGCAAGACAATTTCTCATGATTACAGTGTTTACTAGTCTCACTGAGATCAGAAGTCCATGTTCTGAATGTAAGAAGAAAAGCTACAAACAGTTCAGATATAAGACATAGCACATGTATAGCATGTACAAAATAAATGTCTCCTTTATGCAAAAGACAGATGACACATACTCTAATTAAAGGTTAGTCAAGGAGTATAATCACCAGAGGCCAAACATGAGAGATTATAATCTTGATTACAGGTTGGTCAGACAGATCAAAGTAATAAATTGGCTCAGTGTTCCTAGAAACAACTTTGTGAACTTTTGATGAGAAGATTACTATGTCCTGAATTCCTTCTCCATTTCTTGCCTTTAATAAGCCCACACAATTTAGACACTTGCTTCTTATTCTCCTGCTTTGACCAGTGCTGAAACACCAGTGAAGTGGAATGAAATGTTACACAGTGAAGATTAACCTTGATCCATCAAACTAAAGGGTGGCTTGAACCTTTCCTTACCTATGCCTATCTGTACTCTCCCGGGCTGCAACCTGCACCCTCATCATAATATTGTGACTCAATGCAGCTGGAGAAACTCCCTCCCTCCAGGAGCTGCCCTAGGCTCTTTACCTCCTTGCCCTCCACTTCACAAGCATCATTTCAGCCTGTCCTTCCTTGCCAGTGTTCCTCACTGAACTCCTCCACTGAGAGTGAGCAACAGCTCCTTGCCCCTACTCTTCTCCTTTCAGCCCACGCAGCTGCCTCCTGCCCTTCACAGCCTCCCCAAGTGTTAACACAGCAGTGATCACCACATGCCCTGAACCATCTCTTCCAGGATCCCATCCACACAGATGTCCTCCAGAGCTTACCTGAACTGACCTAGACCATCTCTTTCTTACATCAGTCCTGCTCCGCATCCCTTTTCCTCACATCCCCAAGCACCTTCACATCCTTCACAGTGTGACACCCTGCTCCACATCCTCCTCTCCCATTTGTGATCCTCAAACAATCCCCCTCCTCAGGCTGCCCGTGCACACCTCAGCTCTTTCCATGTGAGCCCATACATCAATGCCTTTGACAATCCAACTCTAATGCCCTAGAACCACTATTCTCCTCCTCCAAACAAAGTGCCCTTCCCTTCCATTTTCCCCAACAAGCTTCTGTAAAGCCCCAGGGTTCCCCAATTCACTGTAACATCACAAGTAACTCCATTCATTTTCCTGCACCCCTTGCTGTGAGGATCATGCCCCTGTTCTCCTGCCTCCACAGCCATGGCTCATATCCAGCATCCTGCACCCCCAACAGCTGGTTCTGCAGCTGCTCTTCATCCCAGCAACTGGCCTGCCTTCGCTGCTGTACCTGTCAGAGGGTGGGGGGAAGAAGGAGGGGAGGAACGAATAAGGGAACAGGAACCATCTTCCCAGAAACCGACCTCTGAAACTCAGATGAAGAATGACCTCTGATCACCCTAGATTTTGAGAACACCTAACTGAGCTTTTTGCTCATGGTCTCTTGAAGCAAGTCTGAATAAATACGGGCATCAGAAAATAGGAAGTGTTGTATTGTCTTAATATCAGGGAGAGAAACAGCAAGCAAAAAGGGGATTGAAAACCTGTTACTGTCTTGTTTTATTGGGATGCTATGAACTACCTGTCTTTTTATCATTACAGACAGCAGTTACATAAGGATGCTCAGAGAATGAGCACTTAATGTAAAAAGAAAAAAAAGAGTTACCAATATTTATTTAAAATAAATACAGTGCAATAGTTCCCCCTACTGACAGCACAAAATCAAACTACTAATCAATATTTCCTGGATAGACCTCAAACTACTAATTCAGTGTCCTGATGTAGTACCCACACTTGCTTACCAGTACACAGTAAAAAATTGTGAAAATCAGGTGTCTTAGAAGATAATGAAGATTTGTCCAATGGAGAGAATAAAATTTGGTTGATCCATAAAATTATTTATTAAATGTGCAAAATAACAGCATGCAATCCTATGGAAAGATTATGAAGTGTGAGTGCATGCATCCTAAATGAAATGCCAATATATTCATCAGCAAAACCAGAAACATAAGTAAAATTCAGCTTTACTGTATAGCCTCCCATGCTTGCTGAAATCTAAAGGACAGATATCAGGTCTGAGCAGAGACTTCAAACTCTGACTATATTTGGGGACTGACCTTTTTGGACAAAGGGCAAGTCATTCACTCTGGTCCACAGTTCCCAACAAAAAACAGTGTAAATATTGTTATTCTGCTCTACTGTCAGTTCTTTTGAGGCAGTGGCAGCTGGGTTAAATCAGAACCAAGAATAGCCACTTAGAGAAGTCCAAATGCAATTTGGGACTAGATATGCTTCTGCTCGTAAACAGCAACCAAATCATTCCCCCAGCCTTATACACCAAGCTTTCACTTCTGAGTTGTAAAGCGAATGTGATTTTGTACTCTGGTCATTTAGTTTAAAAATAAGAGGCCAAAGAAAATCCTCTAGTATGTTTTATCCTCATCTCACTTGAAAAAAAACAACCCAAAACATAAAAGAGTAACAGAACTAAAGAGAGTCTCCTGAAATATGGATTGGACCATACAAGTCTGTAAATCAGGATTTTTTCAGACTTCTGTTATGATCCTGTCTCTCTGTATACAAATGCACCTGAAAATTTGATAAATGCTAGTAAAGACAAAGCCAAATCTCATTTCAAACACATGTACAGTGAATATAATGTCTTTTATCCAGCCAATATTCAGACATGGGCCAGCTGCTGACACCTGCATGCGATCCCCTAGAAGTTGCCTTTGTATCAAAGCTTCTCACCTCACATTCAATTCTTTCTCTGCTCTGCCTAGAAAATATAATTATGCATCAGTAGTAACACATACCTTCCACTTAACAGCATCTCCAGTACCTGGCTTTTTCCCTTGAACAAGGATGCACGTTCCTCCCAGTGCTGAGACAGTGTAACATTGCTTGGTTGGCTCCCTGGCAGGTTCTGAGAGCATGTTTCTTACCCCAGGTTTGCACAGAATGGCACCGAAATGCTTTGCTCACAGCTGGGGTTTCCAGTAAAGACAAAATATGACAAATAAAACAATAGTCAAAAGTATTTGCTTTAGGGCAGATTTCAGCTGCTTCACATCACACCAGAGCCATGATCCTACCTTCTTAAAGTCTGTGCTGGGGAAAGATGGGTGGGAAATGGTGAAAATGTAGCATTTTACACTCACACTGGTTTTAGCAATATTGCACCTGCTATTATAGAAATCCTCTTTCTAATAATTTACTTCTTAAGGGAAAAGATACTTGGAACATCTCTGTTGCCATTTACAGATATGGTATTGGACCATTAACCTCTCAGAACAGGGATCAAATCTTTTACATTGGACAGATTCCAGCTATTACCTGGAATGCAGAATACTGTAGAAAGATGCTTTCTATAACTGCTTGGAAGGAGATTGTAGTAGTGGGGGTCAACCCCTTCTCCCAGGCAACCAATGACAGGATAAGTGTGTGACAGTGACAGTCACACTCTTAAGTGGGCCAAGGAGGTTCAGGTTGGTCATCAGGTAGAATTTCTTCATAGAGGGAGTGGTTAACCATTGAAACAGACTACCCAGGGAAGCGGTGGAGTCAGCATCCCTGGAGATGTTCAAGAAGCATAGCGCTCTGGTTAAGTTGATAAGGCAGTGTTCAGTAAAAGGTTGGACTCGATCTTGGAGGTCTTTTCCCAACCTCTATGATTGCCCAGGCTCTGCCGCACAGTACGAATTAGAAAGATCTGTTTATTTCTCAGCCTCCTGAAGACAAACAGCTCCCTCCCTACTCTGACTCTAGCCCAGGTGACTGTCACGACTCGGGTCCCCGCATGTCTCCCAGCACCCGAAGCAGGACCGTGCCGGACTCGGCGCTCCGCCCTCGGTTTGCAGAGCCCGGCAGAGCCCGGGGCCCCGCGGGGCTGACGCACAGGAAGGCCCTGAAGGCGGGCACAGCACTTAAAGTCGGCGGCGGCGGGATCGGGGAGCCGCCAGCGGCAGCAGCAGCAGCAGCAACGCTCGGTCGGACTCACGGGAAAGGCAAGTGGGGCGCCGGGAAGGGGAGGATGGATGGATGGATGAGTGTGGGTGGGTGGATGGATGGAGCGGAGCGCCGAGCGGGATGGGGGCGCACGGAGCGCTGGACACAGGCGGGAGCGCCCGAAGGTGGCTCCAGGGCAAAGCCGGGGGTCGGGCGAGCTCCTGGGCACGCAGAAAGCGAGACGTGCCTGCTCTGCGCTGTCCAGGGAGCAGCTGGACCCATCTCCACACCCGCCGTCACGCGTCACCCGCTCCTACCAGAGAATGGTTTGGATTGAGAGTGGACCTCAAAGGTCATCTCGTTCCACCCCGCTGCCATGGGCAGGGACACATCCCAGTGTACAGGTTGCCCAAAGCCCCATACAACCTGGCCTTTAACACTTCCAGTGATGGGCCAGCCACAACTTCCCTGGGCAACCTGTTCCAGTGCCTCAGCAACCTCACAGTAAAGAAGTTTTTCATAATATCTAATCTTAATCTACTCTCTCTTAATTTGAACCCATTCCCCCTTGTCCTGTCACTACATGTTCTTGTAAATAGCGTTGCCCCATCTTTCCTCTAAGTTCCTTCAGAGGCCATCCACAATGTGCTAAAACTTCTTCTCAGCTTTCCTTGTGACTTTTTTTTGCACTAAAGGAATATGTATTGTACTGAACACATCACAAAAATCCCAGGAGCAAATCATACCTATGTGCTTTGCATGCATTTATGCACGTGAGCATCCCTGCACCTTACCTGGAAGGCTTAAGGGGCTGCAGGCTGAACAAAATCCTGCCTTTGTTGTTGTTGTTGTTTTTCTTTAGATAAAAAAATTAAGTTTCCTTACTAATCTTTTTAGGATATCGTAGTCACCAGAATTCACTAAAATTGCAATAAAAAGTCCCACTGAAAGTTAACAGCCTTACTAATCCGATTTCTTTTTTTTTTTTTTTACTGAGTGTAAGTTCAGAAAAAAGTTACAGTTGGATTCAGTGATCTTGGAGGTCCTTTCCAACCTTAACAATTCTGTGATACTATTCTATAAGGTATTAATGCATCATGATTTGGTTCACTGTACGTACCTCCAGAAATAAGATCTGGGATTCTTTGTAACTATCGATATAGCTACACAGTGGAACACTCTGTGCCTTACTCCTGCTCAGCAATTTAAAGAAACAAAGTAAATATTCAGGTAATATTTTTTCCTCTCAGAATGGAAGAAATAAAAGAGGAGGGATGTGTCCCTGGGCACATTTCCACTGACATCATATAGTGTCCTTCATACTACACACTGAATCATCCCATCAGCCTTTGTTAATGAGAAACTAAAACCTGTCACTTTTACTTTTGCATGAGTAAGTACTCACGACTCCATTACACATCTAGAGGTATTTCATATTTTTTTTAAACTCTGATTGAGAAAAAAGCAAAAAGAAAGACCACAGCATTAAAAATATGATGTTTTCTCTATTTCAAACTGCTGACATTCTGAAACTATGATTAAGAACTGGAAATAGAAAAGCTGCTTACAAAAAGGTCAGCTTTCTACACAAATGTCCCTTTTGATGAAATCTTATCTTTTTTTTTTTTCAGGAAAAGTTTCTGTCAAAAATGTTCAAACAGATCTGTAATTTGTTGACCTACTGCAATGCAATCATTAGCCCCTGACTGGATTTTGTGTCTTTTGGTTAAGTTCTGATGAAAGGGAAGATCACCTCTGGTATGGGAATAGTGTCATCAAGGACTGAGATCCCAGGGCACAGGCCTCAGGGCATTCCCCTTTTCTTCTCATCCAGGGTGGCCTGTTCTCAACCCTACCACTGACTTTGTATCCACAAGCAGGATTACAGCCTGGGCTTGCCCTGAGGCCATGGTTTATCAGTCTATCCTGCTCTGACAGCATCACAATCAAAGTGGTGTTTTCAACAGTGGGATAAATGATGATGGGGTGTGATCAGAAAGGTAATGTTCTCATGAGTAGACAGAGTACTCAGGCTGAGGTGTCCTCATAGAGAGCCTTGCTCACCCAAAATAGTCTCTTTACACCATGGAGAGGAGCAGATATTCATTCAGCTCACCTAAAATCTGGAACAACCAAACTTCTATCTCCAGGATCTCAGTAAACAGGCAAAACTTACTTGGAATAGTTTTTTTCACTAAGAACTTCAGAGCCTGTCATCAGGAAGTGCTACTTTTGCTTGACTTACAGTTTTCATATGACTCCATGCTTAGTTGTTTTTTTTTCTTTCTGTAACATCAAATATAATTCTATGGGAGAAGATGTACTAGATAAACAATTTGGGTTGTAAAGCAGTACTCTCTAAACAAAATATGTGGGGCTTTAGAAACAGCACAGTAACACACAACCACAATGGCTTTAGGAAAAACTTGAGTGGCATGAATTCACCAAGAAGGGAACAGATTAATTGCTTTCTACTACTCTTCAAAAAGAATAGTTTTGCCTGGATTTGAAGAGTGCAGTCCTAAACTACTTCTCTTGATGAGAGATACTGCGTAAATCTCACCACTTCATAAGCAACAGAAAGTATCTCAAAACATTTACATTAAGGAAGAGAATTGACAGGCCTGCCTATTCAAGTGTAAAAACCAGAACCTTTAATGGTCTTGCCCACTCTTCTCCCTCTTCCCCTTAACTGGCTAAATGTACTCAACACCACCACCTGTTTTGAAAGACAGGATAGACAGAAATGTTGAAGTATATAAAAACTACAATGAAAATAAGTGATTTATGCACTTTGGATTAGTAATTCATACTCACTTTTCAATGGCAAACATGTTTCATCTTTTCTTTTACAGTATGTCCCAATGGAGTCAAGTTCAACAACTGGAAATAAAATTTTTGGAGCAGGTGGACCAGTTCTATGATGATAACTTCCCCATGGAAATCCGGCATCTACTGGCACAATGGATAGAAAGCCAAGACTGGTAGGATTACATTTATTCTCTTTCAAATTATTTCAATTACAAACAATTATTTTGTTTTCTGGCAGGTTTTAGGGTGCTCATTTATGACCTGTGCAGACATCTGCACTCCAAGAATAGTATTCCACTAGTTATGGATTTAGCTGTTTAAACTTAAGGAATATCTGGAAGCAAGGTTTCACATTTGAACTTTCTCCTAAAAAAAATCCAATGAAAATGGTCTGGCTGTAATGATATTACAGGTTTTTCCTAAAAAAAAAATAATGCAATTTACTTTCAATGGAAGTGTTATACAATTACCTCTTGCAGCATAAAATTATTAACTTGTCCAAAACTGCACTTGAAGCTGGATAATTCTGGGGAACAAGCCAGCTACTTCCAGGAACTCTTCTTTAGAAAGTTAATTTATGCACAAATTTGGATTGAATTAATTTGATGGTTATCATAAGAAAATTCCGAACTAAATGCCAAAAAAATATTATATTAGCTATAGCTCAATTTTTCAAGATAAACCCACAGGACTATCACACAAAAACCAACCAACCAACAAAAAATTTGCACAGGAAAATAATCTTTCATTACAGATTATAGCTCAGTATTTATGGGGCTGTAGGAACATGGGAAACAATAAAACCTCCTTTTTACTAGACTTAGATTTAGCAGGCATATCTCAAACAGGCATCTGCCATCTGTTGGGCAAGGAAAGAGACTATCCCAAGGACAAGGATGCCTTGCTGTCTGAACTCTATATTCCCCTCTATTGCTCCCTAATGTTATTGCCTTTCAGGTCCAAGCTGTGCCATGAACAGCAGAACCAGTAAAGCCTGGTTTTGTCTGTGTTTGTGTCCTTTGTCCCCTACATACCCTTCACCAGTAGCTTCAGAGTCTTCCTGTATCCCCAAATAGTTTGGCCAGGCAAAGTCTCATCTGGTGCCTGGTGTGAAGAGATATATCTGCTGACTGGCCATCTGGCTGTTGCCTCCTGGAGCAAGTTATTACTGCCATTTCCCTCAGTGGAGGCACTAATTTGGATTCCTCTCTTCCACCAACCTGCCAGATTTCCATGAAATTTGTAAGAACATATTATCTTTTGGACTTCAAGCCTGTTGTCAGCTTTGTCTGAAACTAGACAGCAAATTCAGTAATTATACCTGTGCGACTGAGTGAGAGGGACAGTTTGCATAAGCCCCATTTCCTCTGATATGTGAGCTAGAAGTATTTAACTATTCACTGGAGCAGAGACTAGAAAACCCTGGTTGTCTCCTCTGGCTGACTCCTCACCCTGTTTTTGTAAGTGCATATCTATGTGAGTATAAAAAAACCCAAAATCTTAAAAATCAATTGTTGGCAAACCTCTAATTATATTCAGGTCACCATATGTTTAAAACCTTTTTTTTTTTGCTGCCTAGATTTCTGAACAGATTATAATTTTCTGTACTGATAGATTGACACATTACCCAACATTTTAAACATGTGGTTCTCATTCACTGATTTTTTTTTTCAGGGAGGCTGCAGCCAACAATGAAGCAATGGCAATGATCCTTTTACAGAATTTGATAATACAGGTTGATGAACAGCTGGACCGGGTTTCACAAGAGAAGAATCTGCTCTTGATACACAATCTGAAAAGAATCAGGAAGCTGCTGCAGGTGGGTCATTACTTCAGATGACAGATTGTACTGTACACTCTTACTGTTCTCTAGAGGCTGTGCCCAACCTCTGCTGAATGCAGTCTGTTTCTGTGCACAGCTCAGAGCTGTCCTGATTCCTATAGACTCCAAGCAGCTATGGGAAGACCAAGGTTTCAACAAGATAATTCAAAATAATAACTCCACTGTTTGTTTGTGGAATGATAATTCATATTTCAATGCATGCAGCTCGGATACAAGTGCTGTGACTTCTTAGCTCTGTGTGTATCTGTGTTTCACTGAGCTCTGACAAATAAGACTGTATAGTGGTTATGGATGTTCATGTTTATTACAAATGTAACATCTTTCAGACACATACAGATATTTAACTATGGAATAAAAATACATATTTGGGGCTTAAGGCAGCACCTGAAAAAGGAATCCTTGTAAATCATTAGCATGTTTGCTGTTTTATGCTTAGCTGGGATTATTTGTTATGAATGGCTTAAAGGATTTTCTGTTAGGCTTCTGCAAAATGATATTTATTTTGATTAGCAGGTAATAATTGTTTATCTAAGGCAAGGATTCTCAGAGTTCCACTTCATTAGTCACCTACTTCCTGACATCTATCTGTCTTCTGCATAAAGCAGATATGCAACTGAGTTTAATGAAAGTTTGGGGTTTTTTCTCTTCTTTGATGGTGTTTTCCATCAGTACCTAAATGACAATTTCATTGCTTGTAAAACATTTTCTTTATTTGATATATATATATATATATATATACACACACATGCTGGTCTGGAAAATTTTACCCTGACTTTGCCAATTATTTTGTTCTCTTTGTGGCTGTGTCTTACTGCTCTTTATCCCTAACTATGGCCTCTTAAAAACGTGACAATATTTCTATCACTACCACTTTTTCATCCTATGCTATGCAAGTGGCCTCCTGTAACTTAAAAGTAAAGCCACTTTCTATTTTTTCAGCGTAGCAGCACTTTTCACAATTTCAGTACTGCTCAAACAACAAATTTACTTGACTGCTTTTGGTCTTAAGTGCAGAAAGCTTCATCCTGTAATTTCTGTCATGGTCTTGGCACACTTTACCACAGTAGGGCTGAGACAGCTGTCTCACTTTTGTAAAGGGTTCTTCCACATGTGTGGAGAGAGCATTCCAGGGCAATGGTGTATTCCATTTGTACATTGGTGTATTCCTGGCTTAAAAGATAGTGCATTTATGATTATACCATCACAATGTGCACATGCATATTGGACCAGTATATATTTACAGACAAGCTCTACAAAATTAAAGTCTCTCATTGTTCCTTCTACTCTTTGCACCATGGATTTTTCTCTAAATTTTTAACCAAAACTTGAAGCATCAGTTCTGCATGCTCTGGGAAATTGGGCACATCAGGACAAGCAATCAGGCTGTGGGTGCACACACATGAGTTCACATCATAACCAGTGTAAACATGGCCAGAATGAAAAATGCTTCCTTGAAATCCTGGCATGGTTGGAAATTATATCATGAAGTGTTTCACAAAGAGCACAAAGCAAAGGAGGCTTACTCCAGAGAGACAAAAGGAGGAGAGTTTTAAGTGATTTATGATTAAATGGTTTCTCAGGTGGCAAGGGTCTGAGTCACAATTCCAGAACAAGCCAAAATGCTAGGGCATCCCCATTACAGCTGAACAGCTTGGTTACAGTCACCACATACTAGTTACAGGAGCACCAGCACCAGAGCTGGTCTCTTCCTTCTCTAGAAAGAACAACATTCAAGTCCCTGTAGAGTAGCCTGACCCATTGTTTCATTCTATTGCTGGCTCTGAAAAGTAGGGCCCCACAAGACACAACATGCACCAACTTGTTTTCTTCATCACCCTGCAGCACTGCCAGGCTCTTCCTTAGTAGGCTTTCTCAAGCAGCCAGGTCCCTCTGCTCCCTTGGCTTGCAAAGGTCTGCAGATTTGCATTGCAAACTCCTTGAGAGGCCATATGTGGTGCTGGAATTATACTGCTTATTAAAAAAAGGATATGAAGTCTTGAGCTTTGTAGTAGAATGTTTCCAGCTGAGCAAAAAAACCCAACAGCTCTCCCCATCACTAATAATGCTGGCCTATCTCCATTACATCAAGACAGCAGATAACATGTATTTAGATAAAAAGCTACTCATTCAGTTTCAAATTACATATGTGAACCACCAGATACAGATATTGGAGTTTTTCCTGACCTTTAACACTATCACCCACAGTCTATATTCTGATTTCCAGAATAATTTATGTAGGCTGGAGTAGATCTAGGCTCTTGCAATGCTTGAGAGTTATTATTATTATTTTTGAATAAGACAAATAACTTAAACCGTCTTAAGAAATCTATGACACTAGTAATCTGGATGTTTGTGTGACATACTATGTTACAACTTTTAATTTTTAGAACATAAAAGATAAATGCATTTTCAGCCAAAGTATGGGCTGCATGTTCTTTAGAGCTGAAGTCTCCTGGCTTCAGCTGTTAAAAATACATCTTCATTGGTTAGGTAAGTACATCAGGAAAGAAATGCTATAGTAGTTGAAATCAGCTGATAGCCTATCTTTGTTATTAACTGTCAAGCATTATGAATGGACTGTAAATTGTACATGACACATAGCATAGACAGTATCTGTGTAATGCTCTTAAATTTGACTATGCAAATTATGTAATTGTGGGTCTAATTTTTTTAATGCATCACTGGTTGTCTTTTATTGCTGAATATATGTAAAGTTTGGAAATGGGCATTCAGCTGGAAGCCCTTGCAGATACCTAACTCTAAATCTTGTGATTTGAGCTAGTTTGGGACAGTTTCACAAGACAACACCAGAAGAACATGACTGATGTACATACTGGAGTGCCATGGCTCCTTTTGTCCCAGCATACCACAGAGAAAGGGAGGCTGGAAGGGTATGCCGTAAAACTAACGAGATTTTTCACTGACTGATGAAAGAAAGACTGGGTTCCTAAATAGAAGGGGAAGTTCCTTTTGTAAACATCTTTTCCTTTCTGGTGACTCTGCGAACAGTGTTGGTTTGACTTTCTCTGAAGGTTTGTTACCATGGGTCCACCTTTATCTCTGCTTCGCTCTCTAGTGCAGGCACTTCTTTGAAATTTCACAGTTCACTCCTTTTCCTTCCCCTCTCTACCACACACACAGAAATACAGGCACATGCACAGCCATGCCCACCACAAAGCTGTTCAACCTCAATACACAATCTGAGTACAATCTTTGTTCATTATTTTGAGCCAAATTATGTTACTGTATTGAGTAATACTTGACAAATGAAATCATGCTGGAAATCATCACTTATCACTACGTACACATACAATATGTTGAGCTACAGTAAAGGTTCCTAAATACTATGGCAATAGTAATAATAAAAAAGATTAAATTAGAGAACGCACAAAAGCTATTCAAAAGGAATCTGCGGTTCTTGGCAAAACACAAAATGAGGGACTAACATGTAATCAGAAATAATACTGGAGTGATAGTGAAGAGCAACCTTAGAAGAGGAAGCAACACACACTTTATAAATGGCTTGTGCAGCTGTTTGCCAGGCAGACAAGGACTCCTTAGGATCAAGATGCCTGGTGCTGCTACTGAATCTAGAGATAATTATGTCTAGGAGCTTCCAGCACTATAGCCAAATTGAGAAGGTCAAAATTGAGAATATTTTGACCTTCACCTGAATCATCTTTACATAAATATGTCAGTTGTTCCATGAAAATAACGACAGAAGTAGTGAAAGAATGGAGAATTTGCCTACCTCATAACTGTAATACAGTTTTGGGCAATCTTGGGTGTTTTGAAGGTCAAAGAGCAGAACTCTTAGCAGAAAGATGGGTCTGACTGGCACCTTTGCTTTTATGCCACAGGGACCATCCCTATTCTCTCACCACTAAAGAAATAACTATGGAAGGTGGTATTTTTCCTCAGACTGCTTACATCTTCAAAATTATCTGGAGGCAAAAAGAAACATCGACCAGGAAACATGCACTTTGTAAAAGTTGTAAGCACTTGAAAATAGTGCTGAGAAACTTAGTTAAGCAGCTGTGGTTACTGCTAGCTCTCTGTAATTTGCTTCTCTATTTCCTGCTTTCATTGAAACATCACTTTTGACAATCTGGTATAAATGCACATATTGTATTAAAATCAGAGTCAGCATTTAGGTTAAAATCCTTCATATTTAATTCTTACATTACTATTACTTCTCCAGTCAGTAAATTGGATTCATTTTTATAGCAGAGCAGCCTTTGGTTGCTGTGCTCTTCAGTGGGATACAGAACAGCCCAGTCACTTTCTAAGAATAAATTCTTTGTCCACCTTCCTACAGAGCTCCTGCTCCCCCCTAGCAGTGGTTCTGGAAAGGGAAGAGGGAGAAAATGTTCAGAGGCAGTGGAGGAAAGAGAGGGGAAACTATGCCTGTGGTTCTTTCTCCTTCTTAAAACCTAGATGGAGAAAAGCAAAGCAGATTAGTCACAAGGAGATGGTTTGTGCTGTTGCCATGACAACAAATAGTAAAGGACTGATGTTAAGCTCAGAAGAGCTGCCTAGCACTTCTAGGAACCAAATTGCAGGTGCAACAGTCTGTACAACCTCGGCCCTTGAACAATTACACCCTAGTTTTCAGAAAGAATGTTTTTACATGACAGTGAACCTGTCCCTGATGTAAACTCCTGTGGAATACATGAGTAGATTTAGTACACAAAGACTACTGGTGGAATGCAGAGACACTCGTGTTAAGACAGGCACTGTCTGCATTCCTGACTCCTATGCCAAAATCCTCAGTCACAGAAAAGCAGCCAGGCTGCAGTGCACCAGGGGAGCTAAGAAAGGGGAGGTTCAGAGTAGCCTGGGAATCAGAGGTGGCCACTGCACACCACTGTCCCACTGTTCCATTTAGGAATGATGCTGGTGGACAATTGCCTGTAGGTCTCTAATAACGTTCAGTGATGTTCATCTCAGGGATGTCCTTCCCCCCCCACCCAGCT